CGCTCTTCAGACAGGAGTTGTACACGTCCAAAAATAATTCCAGGCGCGCCTTGATCGCTGCGTTCTTGATCTTTAAAGCGATGCTCGGGATGGCGTCAGTCTCAGGTGCCTTCCTATTCCCTATCTACCTACAGGCCTTAAGCAACTCGCTTCCTGACGCCGGATCCAAGGCGCCATAGCTGCCTTCCAGTTATTGTGGAAATAATGTAGCAACTATATTGCGCAGTAAATCGAAACAGGTCGGCAACACGGCATGGTAGGACCTTTCAGCCTACCCATGACCGTGCGGTACAGTATCGCCATCTTTGGACGCGGCTTTTCCTGCTTCTTCCTCTTGTCTCCCTGTTCCTCCTTCTTTTCCTTTCTTCTTCTTCTTCGCTACCTGCCACTCCGGGGAGGCCAGCGCAGAAATTAACTTCCTCGGTGTTGCCAGTGTGGCTACAGCAGCACTCCTGTCTGGTAGTGGGCTCTTTGGCTAGGCCGTTTTACGTTTGGCCATCCTCTCCTCATTTGGCAAGAGATCCGACCTCGCTTCTTCTTGGCCATGTCCGCCATCAAACCCGATGTAGTCTGGGTAACCTTGGACGGCTGTGTGGATGACCTCATCCTCTTCTCGGCGACTAGCAGTGCTGTTTGATCGAATAATGTTCTGCAGGACGCGACTAGCCTGAGGATCTCGCATGAATATGCACATTGAATTTGCCTTTGATAAAGGAGGTCAGTTCCTCTATCTTGGCACCAGGTTTCTCAAATGCCTTTCCCACTTCATTTGTGGCATTATCTGTTACCGTGGCCAAGTGTTCCACCAAGGTAACATTGCGGTTGTCGGATGACGACGCCTGGGAGCCGGCTTGCTCACTCCCAGTGGTCACCTGTACTCGAGTTTCGTGCCCACGCACAGTAATGTATGCAGTTTTTTGGGTGTCTTGCATTTGTTTCGGGATTTGTTTTCGAGGTTCCTTCCCCTAGTCTCTTTGGTCCACGGGGCGTATTTTTTCTGCCCTACCCTCTATTTCTAGCAAGCACTCCCCTATCCGACACCTGGGGTCGCGCCGTGTAGGCGTTACAAACTCCCCCTGCGGTGTGTATTTGCGTGTGCGTGAAGCATTATTGTAAAATATGCAACGTTGTTATGATAAAGATGGTGAAGACCAAGAGTGGTGGTATAGACCCGCGGTTCCCAACCCTTTTTGACTTACGTACCACTTGGCAGGCAATTTCTCCAAATTGTACCGTCTGATATTAGAAAAATGCTTGTGATTTATATAATTACTGTTATTTCAATTTTTTCACGTATCCTTGAAATACCAAGCACGTATTGCAGGTTAGGAACCGCTGGTGTAAACAGATGATGTACACTGGATTCGGACTGTGCAAAGTATGTTTCGTGAATGAAACGAGAAGAAATGTTATGCGAATATTTATTAATAAATACTTAAGCATAATTTTATAATAAGAATATTATATACGAAGGAAAAACAGTAGAATTATGATTTATTTGAAATTTCAAACTAGAACTACCGACAAAGGACGTATATTTATTTCTATCAGATCGATAATTACGACAACCTTTTGAAAATATTCAAATTTACATATAGATCGACTGCCTTCTTCATTTTCATACTGCGATAAAAGTTTTGGAAGATCTGAGAAAATATATTCTTGTAACATTTTAATTATTGTTATAAGAGGTATACTAACTAGTCATTTTGACTGCTTTGGTAGTTCTAGTATTAATAAATACTTGTTTCATGTTGAATGTAACAGAATCTTTGCTAGAAGGGGAATATTCAATTTCAATTTCTTTTTTTGTCAATAGTCTACAATAATATAAATTACGATGAATATTAATATTCTATTATTCACTCTACGAAATTTTGTATAATAAACATAAGTTAGTTGGGCTTTTTGTTGTTGTATTGTACTAAAAGAGATATGATTATCATGTTCGTTGTATTGCGTATTCTTATTATAATTTTTAAGTAATTCATTTAAGGATATACGTTTTAATAACAACCGGTTTTACTCTCGTGCACTCTCTAGGAAACTGTTACTTCACAACTACCTAAATTAAACTGAATCGAATTAATATGCTCAGATTGCAATATAGCTATTAATATAAAAGTAACATGCATATTTCTGTAATGAAAATCGTAGTTCAAAAAAAAACTTTGACTTCTGACCACATTAATCCGAATAATGCATAAGGGTTGGATGTATTCATTGAACATAGCATCGCATTTTGATACAAAAATCGTAGGAAGAGATTGTCATACTATTATTGCTGTTTCAAAAGCGTGATATTATTATTACTATTTCAAAAACGAAATATTATTATTGCCGTTTCAAAAAGGATTGACATCTACAATGTTAAATATCTTTTAATTAGTAAAACTGCTATTGTACTGTTAGAAGTGTTGAAAAAGAAATTGTATGATTTTAATTCCAGTGATGTCGCCGTTACGTAATAAGACGTTGAGTAAATTTTAATCGAACGTGATGAAAATAATTCAAATAAAACTAGTAATAATAATTAATATATTCCAACCCAACAACACGACAAATTATGCAAACTGTGATGCAACTATGAATTTCAAAAGAAACGATTTGACTTTTTTCAACGTTATCTTGTTCATAAATGTTGGAACTTACTGAAAGAAGTCTAATTTGTGTGATAGAGCACGTTTGTTTCTGATTTGAATAGAATCAACCTCAATAGAACATGTACATAGTGACTACCGAATAGGTTCGATACAATGATAGAGTTTACGAACGAATAACAGAATTCGTTTAATAATTAATATAATTAAAAGTGTTATTTAGGTATCGTATATTATTTTACGGACATTGTCTAGAGGAACTTGTTTAGAACAGGCAATTTAGAATATATTTAAAGACATTTGAAACATTACGCGTACATTTTCCTTAAAAGTAGATTAAAGTGGATTAAAATGAAGAGGGAATGAAAATATTGTTTATCGAATTTTTATTGTAGAAATGGACTTATAATTATTTAACGATTAGTCGTATGTTGAAACTGAAACATATATTTTATAATATACATGCGTAAATATCATTTATAAATTCTGTTCAATACATTTGTATAATAAGGATAAATACCTCAGAAACAAGTTCAGAATGAGTGTCTTTTACGGTAGTTTTTGAAATTGAGATTTTTCGGTATTGAAATTAGCTCAAGTCTACAATGATATTGATCATTTCATGAATCTTAACAAAACTGAAAAGCGCGACAGGCTGGCGCTCATCATAAAATTCAAGAAATAGAAGTGTCTAGTAGAACACTCTGGTGGTAATAGTATTCAACAGAGTTCACCTTTATGTATTATAAGCTATTCCACGTGATAATGTTAGGTCTAACATATATTATCGTTCACAAATTATTCGGTACTTATGATAACAGATAGACTGTGGATTTTTATGTAAATGAAAAAAAATGTCACAAAGTAATTCATGAAGACAAGAACAAATCTAGGGATGTCTTTCTTCTCTTAAATATCTTATTGGGTTCAGAATAGAATAGAAAACGCGTTGCATCTTATGAAAGTTTTCTCTTTTATTGTACTTCGCAGCGCCCAATAGGCAATATAAATGTATAAAATTAGCAGTCTAGTAATGAATGGAAAATACGAATGAATGAATGAAGATCATGAAACATCGGAACTCATAACGGAACCAACACTTTATTAAAGGCTCGTATTATAAACAGAAAATATGTCTAATGTAATATATGTTGTAAATTCTGTTAAGCGTATTGTTTATTGACATGTTTCATTCTTTCAAGAATAGTCGCCTGTTGAAAAAATCGCTCGAAATGCACATGATTGTTTTATACCACTCTTACCATGATCTTTTCCATAATGTAAATATCTCAAATAATCTCAATACAGCTCAAACTATTAATAGAATTACAATCAACAGATTATAAGAACGAATGTCAAATTCAAGATTAATGATTACTATTGATTACTTCTTAACGCTATTAACCCTTATCCGTCCCTTCTGTCAATTTGACACATTTTTCTCCGAAGTAATGATGTTATTCGATCATGTCTAGGTAAATGTAGCTGAGACTCCATGATTATTGTTTTAAAGAATTGTAACTGTTTATCTCTTCTTTATAATAAAGTCTTTTACCACTATATCAATTTGACACCGAGGCAAAAATTGAAATGAGAAAATGAAGGACGGATGAGGATTAAGTGATCCTTAAAAAAGTCTGACGTGCACTTAATCTCATTATCTTACATAAGAAGTAAAAGATGATCCCGTTTCTAACGTAATTTGTATAGTTTTTTTTAATAATCAAATTTCTTGACATTTAGGAACATTAATGTATATGTTGCCATGATTCAAAAAATTTGTATGTTCCAACCGCTATTTTATAATTTAGTTTAAACTTTTGTTCTCTGTTTTATGGTAATAGCCGACGACACTACTTTGAGCTTACTCATAACTTGCACCTAAAACACGGAATTTGTACTGTTTGAAGGGAATATCACTTCAGGCGTCACTTTTGATATGCTTCTCGTGACAAAAATCGAGAAAAGTGCCAACAAGGGGATGAGATATTTCTTTGAAACGCATAAATCTGTTAGGCTGTTTAATTATGCGCTCATAAACTACTTCCAACTCGAAGTAACGCATAAAAACGAACAAATAATTGTTCCTGTCACGCGCAAGAGTGAGATTCTGAGATATAATGTCTTAATTATCCGACTGCGTAATGCATATAATTCCTTATCTGTAATACGATGTAATATTTTGCTACGCGAAAATGCAGTCTCTGATATTGTTACAAATAAAGGAACCGAAATTTTCTATATTCACGTATTATTAATAATAATTCCATTTTATTATATAATACGAGGTGATAACGGACCGGAAAGGAGAAAGAAAAATCATAAATAGCTAGATTAATAAAAAAAATCAGTGATGAAATGGCAAAATGTGATATGTCCAGTTTTCATCCAAATTAAGATATACAGGGTGTCCCATTTAAATTGATCCCTCGAATGTCTCTGAAATTACTTGTGATGCAGGAGTGTTTCAGACAAAAGTTGATTAGTATCGAGGGGGACATAATTTTCATGTCAATTGTTTCTTTGTAGGTGAAGGCATAGAGGACATTTGAAGGTCAACTTTACTTTTTTAAATGGGACCATCTATTTTTCAATGCATTCGTCGATGCAGCTTGTCATTCCTTGTAAAAAACTATTTATTTATTTACACTGAGAATCCATTAGTTTAAGATATTTTAATTGAACAATTGACGCAGTGGTATTAGCACAGACGAGATATAAGAATAGACCTAACATCTTATAGGACTTGGTGTCTGTTTCGGACGCACTCCACATAAAAGTTTCCGACTTCAGGACATTTTGAATCATGCCAAACAGCTACCTCAAGGCGATGGTGGGAGTTACCACGCCCTGATGCCGTATGCAACCGGACGTGGTGTTTCTGCTGATTTCGGGAGTTATAAGACTGGCATGTGTCGAGAATTGGAAAAAGTCAACCGGATGTGTTTCTGCTGACAATGAGTCGAACGTAGAAGCGTGAAAAAGTAGCGGCGTTACAAAATTACTAACAAAGGCAAAGTATCATACCACAAAACAATAGACGAGCTTTTCAGTCGACTTCAACAAGTAAAATCTCGTCTATTGTTTTGGGGGGGTGTTATTATAAAAAAGTTACTCGTTTTCAACTCGTACTCAATTCCGCTCGATATAATATTTTCAGACATGGTTAGACACAGTTCGAGAAAGAAAAAAAAGTCATTCAGAGTTGGTTAGAAATAGTTCAATAAAGAGTATGTATCATTGTTCTCTTATAACTGTTTAATAAATAAAATTTGACAACTGAAACTTTCTGAAGGTCACTCAGGAGGGCGATCTTGACAACATATGTCAAGGACAAGGTCATCTATCATTTTACTTATCAATACTACTAAAGTACAATACTTACTTCTTTTGACAATAACTTTATTACAAACGGCGACCCTCAATTAAAACCTTCAAAAGGTTACTCAGTGTAATAACCTTGACAACATATTAAAAAATCATAAAAATTGGAGGTGGCTCCCTTATTGTAAATATTTACCAATATTCGTTACAACAGATATCCTTATTATTACAAACAACGTTATTATTTTTAAAAGTTTACTTATACATTGTTCTACGCTGTTACGCGTCACTTAAAAAAAGTAACAGTAGAATCATTACAGTTTGAGAAATTTTAGTTGAATTAATGACGACGGTTAAGAAAAGAATCGAGGATACCGACTCGCAATTGATTTCGTCATACCTTCTCCGATTACGCCGTTTACATCGCAACACAACGATTTGTCCATACCTGTTACGTCAACTCTATTGGTAACAGGTGCACCAGAAATCGATCATTGCTTGATATCAAAGATTCATGCTTACTCATATCAGCATGGACAGGAAACGCGTTCACTTGGACTATTTTGCATTAGTCGTTCTGTTGCTATTCATTACCAGAGTGCGTGTCCAAAATCTCAACAGAAGAGGTAACTATATACGCTTTTTACCCCCGTTTAATAAATAATCAAAGAACATATCTTGTGTACTTGAAGAAGTATTATGTAAATGTCGTGTTTTTAAGTGATTTGTTATGAATTTTGTTGCAAAAACAGTACACTTTAACATATCTGGCTTTCTGCCTATATATTCAGGCATGTTCGTAGAAATTCTCAAAAATTTTCTTGAAACAAATTTATTGAAAGAATAAAACGTTATAGCTGGTAAGGTAACAGTCTTCGAAAAAAACTGTTTTTGAACGGACGACCACCTGCAGCCTCTCCTAGTGGTTTGAAATAAAAAAATCAAAACTTATAACCTTTGTTATGAGTGTTATGTGTCTGTGGAATTCAAATGATCTATTAAATACATCAAGGTTCAGGTACTTTTTCAGGCCGATGACGAGCAAAAAATTGACAATAATGGAAGTTTTACCTTTGAAGTGCTTCGATTTTGTCAAAAATATTTCTTCCTTAACAACTCTAGTTTTAGTAATTCTATGTTTCTTTCAATAGAATCCCTTCAAGAAAATTTAAGGCTTCTTGGAACATACACGAATTCATAGGTAAAAAGCCAGATGTGTTAAAGTCTACTTTCTTTATAAGAAAAAATTCACAAAAAATCGCTTAAAAACACAGTAATACTCCATTATGAATCTTTATTTTTCGTTGGATGATAGGAAACTTTGTTGGCAATAACCATCTAGGATGCGCATATTTACATTGCGGACACGGCGATACCTGCGTGCATCGAAAATTTAATTGCAAAGAGCCTCCGTGTCCCGGTATGCTCTATTGCGCGAAATCTCGAACAGGTAAGCTGCTTAACAAGCTTCCTTTCTGGCGAAATTTACCGTACACCGCGACACAAAGCGTACGTAATGCAAAGTTACTCATAAATTCTTATGCAAAATCTGTGTGAAGGAGTTTAAGTCGAGATTTACAATGCATGTTTTACCGTTACAAGACCGTAACTGTTTTTAATGTATATGTCACAATAGCATCGTGAAGTTTAGTAATCGTATACATTTACTAGTCAATACATATATGTATTTACGTACGATTTTAGCAGAAGTATGAACCAAATATAAGACTGTATACTATTTATAAGTTATTTATAATGTGACGTTGATAACGCATACATTTCCTACAGCACGTTAGCAAAAGCATAATGTCGAAAGTATAAGTTCTATAGACTTATTCAAAGAACAAAAATAAAAATTGAAAACTGAAAACTTAACACTTTATTTAGTAATTTAGGGATTTTTCGTAAGAAAATTAGTTGTTTTTATTTAATAAATATAAGAACATAGCTTTGGTTAAGTTATATTTTTATTTAATATACTTAAAAAGAAACAATTATGATATAAAGTAAATACTTCAGTTACATAAAGCAATGTTTTTTTCTTTATTAATGCGTTTCTTTCACATTTTATATTTTTATTACAAATTTGACAATAAATACTTTTGTCATCGTTTTCGTTAATAACAAAATCAGAATCGTTTTCGATCCACGTTTGCATTAATACTTTACTATTTGTTCGCACTTTTGGCATTTTTAAAAATTGAAAGTACACTTAAATATATTCACTTTTCACACAGGTCATGTTGGCTACGATAATCAAACCGACTGAGCTATTTGAATTCCAAACACAAACTACCACACCTAATATTCCATTAGCAACTTAAGGATACAGAAACATGGTTTGATATGGACTATAATTGGCATTGATTACATGTATTATTATTCGACACTACACAGTTATGATACGAGAATTTACTGACAGACGAAATTAATTTGATGAGATAAATATTCCATATAAGCATGACATATGCATATGCACCGCAAATAACATAGGCAATATATTCTTGCATATGCTGTTAAACAGAAATATGCAAAGCATTTGCATTATGCAAAACATACAAAATAAAATATATATTTTTAGAATCTCCTAATTACAAAACAAATTTCTATCCAGGTCCTATTGCTTTATCTGTTTCCTATAAAAATATGCATTTGCATAAACATCCGCTGTCTAATTATAACGTTTTCGATAAAAGAAATCCATTTAAATCTCAATTTCAGTTACTGAAATAGTATTTATATTCGGATCTTCGAGACCAGGAAACAGCACTGAAACTTTATTTAAATTCAGAGTGTCCAAAGTTTTTATTAAATTCAGAGAGATTTACCTACAGAGTGTCCAGTAAATTTTAGTGCAATTGAGAAACAGACACGACTTTAACCTTCATCAAGATAGTAGAGTACTCTCAATACAAAATAGCTAAAATTAATAATTCTAAAATACTTTACTTGATTTAATTCAGTTTATTTATTTAGTAAAATAGTAGCATCACATTTTTAATTATTTATTATATACATATTATCATTTGTGTATATTGTTATGAAATAATAAAGGGGCCTCAGAGGCTTTTCTATCCGGATGAAGGCTAACTAGGTACGTCTGTCTGTTATTCACTACTTCTACTTGTACTGAACTTGACGATGACGGTATACTATTCTTATTATTATATTCTAATGCTGAAGTTATATCAAATTGTTGTGAAAAAATAATGAAACCATACCCTTGTTAATATTTGTAAGCATTTATTCCTTAAAAGAGTAACTTGGAATAGAACAACTAAGATAACAAGGGAACTTCAGTAACCAGAGAATTGCAATTTTTTTTAATTTTGCAGGTTTGCAGGGGACCTTAATAAAAGTATGAGACAGTTATTATATTTTTTACTACTGTTGGGTTTGTCAGGGTGACGACATCCCTCAAAAGGTTAGTATGTGTTTTCCCATTTTCGTTATTATATCTTAAAAATTATAATAGATATAAAAAAATTGTTGTAATGAAGATTTAATGGCGTTTCATGTTCTAGAAAACTGTGTAATTAAATTGTTAAAAGGTTTTCATTAAATAAATGAATACATGAATACAGAAATTTTTAACAATTCCATAGCATATTTTTAGAAAAAACAGCCGTTAAATTTTCATTCTGTCAATTTTTTCATATTTACTAGAGTTTTCAAGATATACAGGAAAATCGGATACCACGCGTTAAACATTAAGTAGTAAGTTTATCACGCAAATATAAATAATAGCAAACAAAATAATTGCCTGATACTTTTATCAACGTTCTCTACATATTTGAAAAGTTTCAAAAAAGTAGAAGTTTTCGGGTCTATGATTTCCCTAACAAGTGGTACATTGTGTACTGAATTTTCGCAACCCAGAGAACTCGTATGAAAATATTTCTGACAAATTATACATGATATAGTCTCAATATTGTCAGTATTAGTTATCAAAAATTATATTTTGAATATTAATCGTATTAGTTATTGAAAATTATATTTTTAATATGATTAATATTAGTTATTGAAAATTATATTTTTAATATGATTAATATTAGTTATTAAAAATTATGTTAAAATAGAATATGTTTCAAATATATTTTACCATTCTTGGAAAGATACAACGTGTCCAATTCGTTGTTTTGCATACTATCTATCAAGCACCCGTCACAAAAATTAATTAGGATGAAAGCAGTCACATATTAAAACTAGGAAAACGCAAAATTTGTTTTCAAAATATTTAGCATTAAAATTTTACTAATAGTGTAAATGTCTATGATACTTATAGGCATGGAAAATGATGGTGAATAATCTCTCAAAGAAAAATTTTGACATGTTTATGTGCTCTGGAATGTGATAATTTATTCTGTGAAAGTAAAAGGAAACAGAATTCTCACGTCCAAGAATACAATACAGAATCCTGTCGATTGGAAAGGATTTTTGTACTTTGTTTCACCTTCTTAAGGTTATATATTCTTGGAAAAACTTTTCCACCTAGACAAAAGGATTTTCATAATGTCTTGGATAACAAAGTTTCTCGACGTTCTCCTCATCTCCAATTAAACTAGAAAGTTACTATATTTACTTTTTTATACTTGCTAACGTATTGATTGCCGTAAAAGTCACTGGTAATCGTCATTTCAACTTCCGGCGGAGTCATGGAAGTTTCTAAACGAGGAACGGACTGTATGTACGTCTTCACCGAAAAGTCGTCAAATAAAAATATCAGAAATATGCAAATTCTTAGAGTCACTATAGTCTTTTTACAGAAATGCCAAAAAACTTTATGACGTTTGTTTTGTCACATATAATTGTAATGTACAGGGTAAACCATGAAACATGATCAGCTTAAATTATTCTACTGCTACCTGATCAATCAACAATTTTGTTAGCTAATATAACATGAATTAGGGAAAGCTTTAAATTATTATTGTACTTTATTTATTGTACGAAATTTGTTGTCAATCCTTCTTTTCCAGCGTCTTCACGGTCATTTTCAGTTTTTTATAGATAAAAATATACTTTTTTTACGCCCATCTTTTAGCGGAGACTAAGACGAATTTGGCAAGCATAATAACAAATAATTTTTATCTTCTAAACCAAAGAAACGTTAAGAAAGTATTATTTACCTTAATTAAAACGATGTTTAAAATGGTGTCCATCAGCTGCAATATACTCGCGTAAATGGTTAAGAAACGACTATTTAGTTTTATTTATTACGTTTGCACTGATGATTAAGCATCCAAAAAAATTTTTGATCGAACAGCTGGCAGTAGAATATTCTAACAATAAGCTGATCACGTTTCGTGTTCCACCCTGTATAATATGTATTCTGCAGAAGTTTATGCAAATATAGATTTTTATGAAGTAATTTATACAAAAAGAAGTTAAATAGAACCAAACCGATCTTATTAAAGATTCTATCATGATCCAAATACACAATTTGAAAACTTCATTATAATTTATTGAACTTTTTAATGCACTATATTTTAAATAATCGTTCTTGGTGGGAAAGGGTTAATACAAATTTAATATTTCAAGAGTCATTGAGGGGACCTTCTACGTGCGACAGTGTACACTGTACCCGTGGACATTTATGCATGGTGAAGGTTCATCAATGTCATTGGGACCAAAGTAAGTATACTATGTACGATTGTTAGTTTAGTTTAGTTAACGATTTCTGAAGTGTAGATATAGATATTTGACGTGATCACAGTACATTTCTTTAAAAATACCTCCAACAATCTTCAGGTTTTCCCAAACCAAAAAACGTAGTTAAAAATATTATTTTTACAACTACCTACTTCGTAAAAAACAACTTTTTTTATTTTTGTCAGTGGAGCACTATTTGCATTTCTTTTTTAGACAATTCCTGTGTTACATGACATTTTTATTAGATTCTTAATAATTATGTTTTGTCGTATGTACACACACACGCGCGCGCACGCACACAACAAATTTCAAAGTCGGAAGAAAATTAATCAAATCTGAAATTATTGTCCGTTTTAATTCATTTCGAACAGTTTTGAAAGACCTTCATTGTCGAAACAAGTACTGTTTCATGAATAATAACGTGCATGCTTTCATTGAACACGGAAATAATAAAATTCATGTTGTCTTACTTTTACCTAATAGGGGTAGGTTGTCGAATTTGGTCCATCGCTTAGGTTGTACCACTGCTGTAACTTGTAATGTGTAAGGACCTTGCGCTGTATGATAGACAATATGTATATGATAGTGGTGATTGCATTAACTAACTTAGTATTCTAAGCAACACATATTATCTATCATATGATGCAAATTGCTTACACATGAAAAGTTACAGTAGTGGTCCAACCTAGGCAATGGTCCAAATTCGGCAGCCTACTCTATACTTTTACAATCACGTAAAGTTAAATGTACCGAATTAAAGATCGAATGCATCACTAAATTCCAATTGTGTTTAACAGAATGCAAGCAACAGATAGCAAGATGTGTATCTCTGCAAGAATACCACGAGAGTCCTGCGTCTTGTGCCGGCTTCAAGTGTCCTCAAGGCAATCACTGTATTCTCAGAGAATCGTTTTGCGTAAATCCACCCTGTAAATTACTGAGGAGCTGCAGTAAGAACAAAGGTCAATCGTGACAGTACAAATGTATTCTTAAAAATTTACTGTCAAAGATTCTTTATATCTTTTATCCAGATATTATTAATTTTCTTGTAAACAGTCTTAATATCCAATTGACGCCAAGAACGTTTTGAACCCTTCACTGGTCAGGTGGAAATTTTATTACGCACTATTTATTACACAAATCTTACCACACACAATTCTTATTACATATTACACAATTAGTTATTTTGTATTCTCATACAAGAAAACTTTGAAATAAACAAGCACCTCTTTAAGTAACTGTTTAATAAAAATAAAATATTCTTAAAATATTCACCGGTTTCCTCAGACCCCACCTCGCCAGTTAAGAGTTTAGATAAAATTCCTTTTTCTAGATTACAAAATATAATTGTGTTTTCGAAATCGAATATCCAAATGCAGAAATAGTATACGACGTATTAGGTATACTCTTACCGACATAAATGAGGAAACAAAACAATTAATTGCAGACTTTGTAATATATTCTTTTTTTATGACATATGTCTGTAAATATTGTAAATGAAAGAATAATGTAGTTCTTACTTTATTAAGCATATATAAAAATGGATGAAGTTAACATTTGTTGATTAGAGAGTCTTCAAAAAGTAACAATTAATTGTACAAATTTTTGGACAGTTCCTGTTTATGGACCCTCGTTACCTTTATGTTAATCATCCTATTGTGATTAATATTTCTAAATGGTAAATTGAAAATTCGCAGGTTGGCACGTTTTGGTCAAACAAATGCGACGGCCTTCCGTGAACTTAAAATATCTCCTGAACTGATGGTTTCTTGCTGTAAATGGCGTAGTAGTTTTTCGTAAGGAATGAGCTGCATCGATTAATATAATAGAAAGTTCATAATTCTATTTAAAAAAGTTGGCTTTCATATGTCTTTTACGCTTCCACCTACGAACAAACCATCTAGATCACATTACATGTCCCTCGAAAAGATACAATTTTTATCTGAAATATTTTTTAGTATCATCAACAGTTTCAATGATATTCGAATAGATCAATTGAAATAGGATTCTCTGAATACGTACGATGTTCTTCCAATTTTATTTCTAAAGCTAGTCCTGCAATGTGTGACATACGTAATTATAAAATAACTACTCAACATATCCACTTGACTTACCCTAAATACACTGAATCTCAAGCTAAATTTCTAATTACAATAAATCCAAGTGAAAATTTCAATTATGAACACCGAATGTCAAAAGCAGTATCCTTTTTGAAAGACTCAAAAGTCTATAATGAAATTTAATTCTGCATACTGTACTTATCTTAACTCATCGTGGCTAATATGATGCTACGTGAAACACAAATTAGAAAAAAAGTAGAATGTTAATAAAAAAAGAGTTTGGTTTCTTACTTTTTGTCGATAAGCAGAATTTTTTGCATTCAGAATCTGAATTTTCGAAATCTGAGAATCTCTTTGGATTGCATTATGAGATCAATGACATCCTGTACAGGAACAGAGTTTGTTCTTTTTTTTTTAGAAGTGCACGTTTGGTTCAATAAATGTCGAAGCCTGGGCTGCCCGTCACAGTTCGAGTGCTTCTTACGGAGACCAGAGAATACCTGCCCGAATCCACCGTGTAAACATACTCCGGACTGCGTGAATACAACAGGTGAAGTCAAACAGCAAAAGGAATCTTTTTCCATAACACTATTCAGCACATTAAAACTTTTCATACGATCTGCAATATCCACAGAGCGACCCTTGTAGAATTTTTTGTCCTAAACACGAATTTTGAAGCACAATTGCTCTATTCACTTTGTTATTCTAATGTTTTTCAAAAACTGAGGATGACGGAGCAATTCTGCTTCCAGGTTCGTGTGGCGAGAAACTGTACAAGGAATGTCCAGTGGATATTACAAATCAAAATTCAATTGGTCGGGTGAATTGCTTTTCTCATATGTGATCAGTAATCGAACACAAGAATGGAAACGTTCTTCTCCAATGAACTTCATGAATTAGATAGCAGATCGAAATATTCCCAATTATCATAGATAAAAAGCTAGAAGATGAATTTACCCTTAGATCAGGGTTAAAGAAGAAATTGTTACGTTATTCTATTCAAGTTCTTGCTACTTTTCATAAATGTAACATGTGATTGAAATGTTTAATAATAGTTCCTTGGCTGTTGATCGTTCGATCTACTAAATCTACAGAACAGCAGCCGGTGTGTAATGTGTTAACACATTATAGGCCGATCGTCTAATATTAGATGTTCAGTAAGTCAATGAAAATAGACTTTTTTCTATTTAATTACACAGATGTTATATTATTTCTTAAACTCTAAATTTCAAAATGACAATTTAATCCTGAAGGAAGCAGTCTTTACAGAGGTTCCGTTATAATTTAGAAGTAATTTGCGAATTTTAAAGTGCGAATTCTCTATTGAATCCGCCTGGGATTTACAATCTATCTCGTCCCTCGTGGTACGCCTACAGTTGCAACTGTTGCCTGCTAAATTAATATTAGGCAACTGTTTCAATTTTCCGGTAACTGAGTATAAATTGTATGATTACTCGACCATTGGATCTGACGAATCGCGAATCGAATGCGAATTGTCGATACGAGTTGTGTATACGAAAATTGTAGAATGTGTGTTGTCGACACGAGACTTTTTATGCGAACGTGTGTCTCCGAGTATTTTTGAACGAATGTATTTTCGAGTTTCGTGTGGCGTCGCGTTTCTTCGAGGTTTGTCGAAGGCGTTACTAAATTTCGCCTCCTAATTGGTTGTGCCCTTGAAGGGGAAGGGAAATTCTTGGGTTTTTCCGAGTGTCGTAGAGGTGTAAAACCTCTCCTTCAGAGCGAAGCGGACGTCAGACAATATCGCGCACTTTTCGGAAGTCTCCCAAGAATAGGATTTATGGCCGCATTGTCTGCGAGTCACCGGGTCTTGGTAAGGTCCGGCGCGAATGGGTTCTTGGTTTACCGTGCGCACGTGGCGAACTGCAGACCAAATGTTTGGGTCTTTTGTATATTATTCCTTTATGTTAACGAAATCTAAATGGAAAGTGGCCGACATCAAAAAAGTCTAAAATTCAACGTACAAAGGAAGTGAAATAACAAAAGTTAACGATATTGTTTGATTATACAGGGTGTAACAAAAATGTTTGTTCGACCCGGAAATGGGGCACGCGGGGGGTGAATTGGAAGAAATTTTTCCTTAGCAATAATGTAATCTGAGGTTCCGTTACCGAGATATTAACGAAAAACCCCGACCAATCAGAGCGCGAGTTTGCCAGCCCGGTAGCCGTTGGCTGCAAATTGCAGCATGTAGCCACCGCTAGCGCGGGAACTCGGCTGGCAAACTCGCGCTCTGATTGGTCGGGGTTTTTCGTTAATATCTCGGTAACGGAACCTCAGATTACATTATTGCTAAGGAAAAATTTGTTCCAATTCACCCCCCAACTGTTCCATTTCCGGGTCGGACAGCATTTTGGTTACACCCTGTATAGCCGTCGTTCCTGGTCTACGATGGAATAATATGGAATGCCATCCATGACGCCAAACACAGATTCATCGACGAATATTTGCCAATTTTGACGAACGTTTGTAGCCAAATATTCATAGTGTTCACACATTCGTTTGTCGACATCGATATTCATTATTCGTTTTCTTTATACGGTGTGGAACAGACAAATATTCATGTGATTTGGCGTGCGTCTATTTACAGATTTAAATTGAAACAATTTAAAGGATATGAATACAATTGCAGAACTACTAAAGATAAGCATTTGCGATATGGGAGCCACCTCCGATTTCGAGGATTTTTCAATATGTTGGCAAGATCATCGCCCTGAGTAGTGTTGTGAATGTTAAAGTTGGGGAGCGCCGTTTGTAAAAAAGTTATTATTAAAAAAAGTTTAGGTACACTCTGTTCAATAGAAGTGTGTTTCAAAGAACGGTTTTCAAAAAACGGGGCTCAAAGAAACAGGAATTGCGGCGGAATCAGTAGGGGAGAGGTGTCGGCTAACATGCAATGCAGACATATTAGAGGCAGTTAGCGAGAGCAAGTGAAAGAAGTCAGCTCTTCACAATGAGTACGATGTACGCTACTTGTTCTGAAACGGTGTTCTTCTGCAAGCATACTCGCGGATTCAAATTTTCGTATGCAGCGGTAGCCTGACACATTCAAAAGTTGGTAGCGTTCGTGAAGAAACGGATGAAGAAGTGGCAGGAGACTGGAACTGTCGACGACCTTGCTGAACGTGCTGGAAGTCGGGGCATTTCCATTGAGCAAGATCGAACGATACTGCGAGTTTTTCGGCCTAATTCTTCACTAACACTGCGGCAAGCCCAATAAAAACTATCAGAGGGAAGAATATGAGCGTCCTTGAGTACGTTGCGCTTACGTTTGCGGGAACACAACGGGCAATGCTGAAGTACACGGCCGAGACCGTTGTTGACGCTGCGACACATTCAGCAACGCCTGTAGTGGGCACGGGCTCACGCGAACCAAGATGGAGCACCGTAATCTTCACCGATGAATCCACCTTCGTCGCAGCGTATCCCCGACGGCATGCTTGGTCCGTACGTGACGAGGCAATCACTGTGCGCATTATTAAGCATCCCCTAAAATTGCATGTTTGGGGATGCATACCGCGGTATGGTTTTGGAAGTTTGTGCGGCTTCAGCGGGACTTTGACGGCAGAGACACTGGTCTGAATGTATCGACGGTATCTACTACTCTCCGCAGAATTCTGGTACTGTCCAGATCCGGCGGCGCGGGGCTGCAAGAAGACAACGACCTGAAGCATCGGTCTCGGAGCAGTACCCAGTGGAAGATTGATCAGAACATTTCCACATTATCATGGCGCTTGCAAAGTCCTCACCCAAACCCAATAGAAAACGTCTGGTCTCTGATGAAACCTAAACTGCGGGGAAAACGTATTCACACCCGTGCAGCCCTCTGCCGCCAAATTCGGGCAGTATGGTGCCCTCTTTCGCAATCATACGCCCAGTCACTAGTGGACAGCATGTCTTGCCGTTGCTGTGCCATTCAAGACACTGCTGACGATTGAACTTCTTACTAGGTAAATTGCATGAAAACCCGACACATCTACTTCCACATACCCCTTCTATCTTTTCCACGACAGTTTCCGTTTGAGCGTAATCGTCGACACGATTTTATTGAACAGAGTGTAAATAATTACTTAGAAGTTTGACCTACTCACCGATTTAGAATCAGTTTCAGGCAGACCGCTTCATGTAGAAACTCTTATGTAGCATTTAATAAAATTTTATTTATCATTCATGATTTTACAGACGAGGAGGTATCGAATGAACTTTGTCGTGGATGGATTTGTCCACGAATGCATAAATGTTGCGCAGAAACAGCGACACCTTGCCAATCAAATAACTGCAGTATTATTCGAACTTGCATCATGATACCACAAAATATGTCTACATCTTTTTCAAAAAGATTTCTCCGCAATGAAAATATAGACGTTAGAACACCTGAAGACAACAGTGAGGTATGTATCCCCGCAAAAATTATAATAGTACGGTGAACTCTAACTATATTGCCACTGAACATATTGCCATGCGAGGCGCTGAGGCTGAGGCTATGACGACAGAATTTAACATGGAGCCCAGCGAGCCTTAGCATGGACCTTAGCTACAGCCCCGACTATGGCAATATAGTTAGAGTCCACTGTAATAGAAATATTTTTATTTCATTGTATTTTATATATTCATTCATATTATTAGGCGTACCATTAAGTAGTCTACTGTTCTCTCCTAATTACGAGGCGATACATTTCAATTAAATAATACTTTCCCGATTATTGGTTGAATAAAACTTGTGTGGGATGTTGAAAGATTATTATAAAGCTGAATACAACTATTGCGACCTACAATAAGTGGGCCTAGGAAATGGTTGCAGCGATGGTTACGTCTTGAATCGTCAACAGGGTTGATAAACCGTCATAAATGGGGATTCCTAGACACCTGCACATCACGTGCAAAATATTTGCTGTCCCTAGAAGCAGTTCTTTATAGTATTTCGATGGTGATTCCCTTGTTACACCTCATACTACCACTTCTTTGACAACATAGAACAACAAAAATTCTGCAGTTTTCACCACCACACAAATACATTTAACTAATCACAAACTGATTCATACCAACGAGTCACTACGCACACTAACATCAAACAGAACGTATTCAACCACCAACCAGACCACATATACCTAGGGATAAACCGATAACTTCAAGACATCGATATTCTTCCTGGTAACTGGTATCGAAGAAAAGTATCGATGTCTACTTACAAGGGGAACTTAGAGGTCGGCTAATCGCTTTTAGAATAAGACTATATACAAGTTGTAGTACACATACAGTGTTATAAAACCCTCATTGGTTTCCGTAGAATGGGCCTTCGTTTTCGAGATATTCTGGTTTAATGTTTTGTTCGCATCTAGTCATTCATTTATGTAAAGCATGTCATAACAGAGGAGCCGTAGGTGAATCGGTAGAATAGCCGACTACGACGCTGCGGGTCCCGAACTCGAATCTGTTGTTAAATGAAGAAAACTTTATTTTTTCACTTTAAAAAAGTCTTTGCTCGACTCTACTCGAGCTACCGGCGTAGCAGCATCGTACGCCGAATATTTCGATCTCATAAATCTATTTGTATCTTATAATTACGCGAATCTTAAATCTTAGTGAACAATCACGACGTTTTCATTGTACAGGTAACAAGGAACGCGAGTCAGGGAAACATTAACGAGACAACTAAGTGAGTACCAGATACCTATTATTACCAAAATTTTACCCAAAAACCTATTTTCATTAACGATTTTGTACATAACCTATTATAATCGTAGACGTAAGTATGAATGAGTTACACACTTCTACAATACGACAACATACAGTAATCCCGTGTTGAACGCAATAACTCGGGTCCGCTTCGTTGCACTCACCACGACGTGGAAACGTTTTCAACACCTTACAATATAATTTTTTGTTCGAAACTCGAGCCTTGAGAGCTTGGCTTTGTAGTGTTCCGAACATAGAAAAGGACAAGCAAATAACAAACAGAAAGAGAAAGCTTCTTTTTACACTCGACCTGGCTGAGTGAGCCCGCCTGTGATGCTCTCGCCGGCCAATGATTGCATTGTAACCGCCTACGGCTCGCGTTATCTGACTCGGTTTCGATATATCTCGTTCGCACTTTTTGTTCGGACGTCACATGGTCCGTTTATGTTTGTACCGTTTCGACCAATAATGAAAATACGTGTGACTGGAGGTGATCCAGCTAATTTGATTCGTCGACAGCTCTCTGCGTCCAACAGCCTAGCCTCGTACCTCTGTCACATCCCCCGTTGCATCGACTTACACAGACGCTCGGAGTGAGCCAGAATACGTGATACGAAAAACAGCGAATGCTTAAGAACCAGAGATCAGAGTCGAGGTAGCCGAGTGTTGATTTCACCAGCACGCAGACCTCTCTTTCTTTTCCATTCGCTGTCCTTCGTATCCCATGTCCTTTTTTTTGCTTTAACGGGGGAAACCTTGAAGAAGGTGGTACCGCCTCCGCTGGGGGCGGAGGCGAGCTGTGCGATGTTTCACCCGCTAAAAAACCTCTTGAAGGCCGAAGCACACTTCCGCGACCAACGCCGCCCTTGTCTCCCCTCAAATGAGGGAGGGGCTCTTCTCTGGGGGGCGGGGGCAAGGGAGACTGCTCCCGCTCGAGGCATGAGAAGAGGAGTGGGTGGGCTAAGGGGCCCGTGGGCCACCTATGCCAATCCCACCTCCAGGAAGGGGGACGGACGTAGCTGGTTACTGCCTCCGTGCCCGCCTCACACCTCACCACTCAACACGGGATTACTGTACTTTAACTTTCATCTTCTATCAGCATGAAGGGAAATTCCAGCTCGCTTCAGTTTAAATTAGTTTAGATTAGAACGTATTAACACGACAGTTTCCGTACGCCACGTTCATGATTTTTTCATTATGAAATACTAAACTCGAAAATGAACGATTTTACATATCCTTTTACATTTCTACAGAGTAAACAGTATGTTTCTTAATTTGTGTCTGTATGCATACGTACAATAGTGTTCTAAATTTACAGCTTTTTCGAAGTCACGTTTCTTCAATTGTATTTTTTTTGTAAATTTTATGAATCGATCGATGAATATTTTTCACATTTTCCACGTGAATAACCACACGTGAACAAGCACAATATAACACATAGACTGCGGATTTTTATAGAAAATGACATTTTATGAAGCAATTAATAAAGACGAGAAAAAAGTCTTATTGGGGTAAGAATAAAAGAAAACTCGTTGCATCTAATGAAAGTTTTGTATTATATTGTACTTCACAGAGCCCTATAGTCTACAAATGCATAAAATCCGCCGTCTAATAATGTAAAATATAAAGTGTGGTGTATGGAAACATTTCTGAGGGACTATATATATTTAAAACCATTTCAAAATAGTATCAATTAACAAAATAATGTCCGTTTGAACGCCGAGTGCCACACAGAATGCTGGATTCGTGGTTGAATCACCTAAACTCAAAGACCGAATTGGACGCCATTGAACTTTGGATAAAGAACGTCAACGAACGAAGAAATTTTAAGGTACTGAAATGTATATATTGGAAATGTTTAATTCCCTGCAATCATAATGCTGTTAAAAGGAAGTAATAAGTACAATTCAATATTAAGGAAGTAATAATTAAAATTATAGTGTCGGACAGAACATTATAATAAATTTTTCGAATTTTTAAAAAGAACATTTTGAATGGCATTTTCAATAATAACAACATATACTTTCAAACTCAACAAGAAAGGGTCTATTTTTTCAACATTCTGGGGTTATGTATACCCGTCAGTCTCTCTAAAGCAATTAATTGTTGTAACTAGGTCTTTGTGTTTTCTTCGCTATAATATACTATTTTTTCCCAATTTCTGTACTTACCAGGTTTTTAATTCTTCTATGAAAAAAATCTATACTTCTCGAATCGGTAAATGTTTGCATGGCATTTTTACCACTGCGATCCGAAAACTCATTTCTCTTCTTGGCAGCACATATACATACGTGCGAACAGGTTTTTTTGTCAAGGATCGGACGCAACAAGTCAAAAACTCGGACAAGGATAACAGAAGAAAATCTGGGAAGTTCTCAACGATTATTAGTTAATATACTAATTGCTATTTAGTTTGGCCCTTAACTCGTAAAGAGAATGATAATTTGGCCCCAGTACCAGGAAAGGTTGCTTTGCCTGATTTAGAAAGTCTTCATCTTCATTGTCCTGTTAAAACTACTCCTTGGTCACTCTTTCATTAAATTCCTGTAGGAATTTCACTTTCAATTTGTACACCAGCACAGGCTACAACCAAGAAAACTGTCATCGAACTATCCTAGGTGGGTTTTTCCTAAATCCATAAACGTAAAGACTTAGTTTACGACCTAATACAGTCCTTGGTCAAATAATTAGAGCCATCCATAATTTACCAAATTTTTCGCGGTAATGGTAGAATTAGAAGGCCGGAACGTATTTTAAAGAATAACTTTTATTAACTACTAATGTACGTACATATATATTACATACATACATATTAATAATTTGTGTTTCCCCCTTTTTTATCGTATCCATTATTTTGGGATGATTTTGCCAAATATCCAGAATTTTTTTTAAATCATCTATTTTGTTGACAGGTGATCCGTATACAAGAGTTTTCAGTAAACTCCAGACACCAAATTCCTCGAACAATAAACTCGCAAAAGTAAAAAATAATCAGATATTACATACAATAATACATATGTATGTAATATATATATATATATGTACGTACTTTAGTAGTTAAAAAAAATGATTATTAAATTACGTTCTGGCCTTTGAATTCTACGATTACCGCGTAAAATTTAGAAAATTTTGGCTGGCCCTAATTTTTTAGCCGGAGACTGTACATCTCCAGTAAAAATGTTATAAAAATATGGCGACTTTCAACCGTAAATTCTCGGTGTATCCTTCACTTGCTCGTAACAGCCGAAGCATCATCCATAAAACGTTCACGTTTGACCGTCTCGCGAGCAACAAAAGTCCCCGGAAGCACAAGAGTCCCTGAGCCCGACGTGTATCCCAATGAAAAAAGTTTTCGGTGACCCGTTATTTCCAGCAATTTCAAGATTGGCTCCGATCTATCAGGGATATACTCGGTCCCAGCGCGTACGCCGGATGGATCGAGGAGACCCTTGCATCGCGCGGCGAAGAATTTCGAAAATGGCTGCGGGCGTTCCACGTCCACGGACCGCATGAAGACGACAAGCCCGATGGCGAACACACGGAATCGATATTTCCGGAACGAGTACGGCCGCAAAACGAGCCGGCACGTGATTCGACGGAAAATCAATATCCCGTTTACGATACATCGGTAGGTATGATGGAATTTTGATTGAAATTTAAGCGAATTAATTAAATGCTGGGTTGCTGCTGTTGCTCGTGGAATAGCGTAGACTTGCGTACACTATCGTGTATACAGTGTGGTCCACGCACCTTGTTCACCCTAAACAATTTCTAAAGTATGCATTGTATGACCAAATTTTTTACAGAAACGTTGTATGGTTTGGAGGGATACATTACGTAATGCATATATTTTTTTTGTAAGTGGAGACGTTTCGGAAATCTGAAGGTCAAATTCGTTATTTTTGTTTCGAATGCTATATTTTTTATGCCAAAATATCGAAGAGCGTTAAATTTTGAGTAAACAACTACTGACCTTTATTACCCGTAAACCTAATAATTACCGAATAATTTTACTTTGCTTGGAAAATGGTCTGTGCGTAATATCAAGTTGGAGATTCAATACTAGCAAAGATTTCCATAAAACTTTTCCCATTCACTAACGTAGGTGTTCGAAATGGTATCAATTCACATTAATACACTGATGTAATCTATTAATCAACGAGGAAATTGCACTCTGGATTGTTTCTGCAGCAAGCATACTGCATGCGTCACGAATTCGTTCTTTCATATTCTCTGGTGTTGTTTGTTCACGATACACCACATCTTTTTATGTACCCCATAGAAAGTGGTCTAGCGACGTTATAACTGGTGAACGTGGTGGCCACAGAAATTCTCCACCACGACCGATCCATCGATTGGGGAATTGTCTGTCCAGCATTTGGCTTGCTACATATGCATAATGTGCTTTAAGTACTTCTGCCCTAGGGCGAAACGCTGCCACGAGGGCAAAATTCTTGGACAGGCCTGGTATAGGTGCTTGAACTGGTGCCCCTCAACTTCAATACAGTGATTATTTTATAACATCTCGTGAACTATTAGGTTTAGAACGTATGAAGGTCAATACATTTTTACTCAGGATTTGATACTCTATCGATATATCGTACAAAAAATAGGTCATACCGTTAAAAACTATCGAGGTGACCTTGAAATCTCTGAAATGCCTCCACCCACAAAAAAAGCACGCAGTTTATAAGATGTATCCTTTTATGCCATTTAAGCTGCACACTTCAAAATTTTCATAACGAGTACTGTTTAGTCATTATTCAAGATGATCAAGTTAGCTGAGACACCCTGTATATAGATACTATCCTTTTTTCGAAGAAAATGGGTATAGCGATTGAGATACAACTCTCTGAAACAAGTTAATTATTGTTCCGTTTTATACTTAGGCCAATTAAAACTAATTTAAAACTAAATAAAATTAATTAAATCAAGCAGTATGTCGATTCTCATCGTTAATTTTGTTTAGTCATTTTTGTGAAGT